TAAATAATATAAGTGTCTCAAAAATCATAGGTAATAAATGTATTACTTGTAACGCATCTCCCGCAGTAATCATCAGCTAATCAGATTGCATGATTATTGTAAAAAGGCTAGAACTTCATTATCTCGGGATTCAGTGATTGGATTTTAATGATTCTTGGCTCATTAGATCCGCCTCAGTGAGCTGATTCTAATGGTATATGTTTCATTTAAATTGGACCAGTGGATCAAAAGATATTAAGGATTTTGTATTTTTTTCTTAATGTTTTATAGGTAACAATACATATATAACTTATTCTTTTTTATAATTAAACAATATTTGCATTATATGCAATTATCATGAACAATCAAACTATTATATATTTGCTCTAATAATAACACTACTTAAAATTATTTATTATATAATTATCTCTATTATTTCTATATACAAGTACTAAATATCATACTAACTTAGCTAAAAAAATCTTTATTACTTACTTACTTATCATTACTGTTTTTTATTCTACTAATTACTACTACTAATTACAACAACTATTTATACTATACTCTCAAAATTTATATCTTTATCTATTACTAATACTATTGCTTAATATATCTCTTCTAATACTGCAACTCAACTTACATTAATCTAATATTCAAAATCTCTAAAGATATATATAACTAACTTTGGAAACAATATTGTAATAAACTTTTTAAATAGAAAATATCAAACAATATATTATAAAGATTTATATAATTACATTAATCTTCTTATTTAAATATAACTTATACTAAAACTATTATACTTATAATTGCTTTTATAGTATTTCTGATTAATAATATACTAATAATATATACTTATAATTTGGTCTCACTAACAAAAAGATAGATATCTGAATCTATAATTAGATCTATTCTAGTTTCTCTACTAATAATATATTCTATATCAATATCTAGATGAGTTTAACTACTCTAGTAGATTTAGATTATAGATAAATTAGATAAATAAAATAATTATTTACAGTTTGAGTCTTAATTATTGCAAATATAAGTTGTAATTTAAGAAACTCTAAGAAGAATCTCACACAAGTTATTAATAAAGATAAAGACAAAGCCTTATCTTAATACCAAAAAAAATAAATAAATAAAAATAAAGATATTTACAATTAGAAACATATTATTTTTTCTAATAAAATAAGTATTAAAGTAAGCAAACAATCTTATTAGATTTGAGTATAGCATTTTGCAGATAAAAGTTTTAAACATAAATATTTAATTCTGAGTTTTAAAAGTAAGAAGGTATCAATAATAGTATAATTATATTTCATTAATAACATCAAAAGTCTCTTGATTTTTTTTGATAACTACAAAGCTTCCAAACAAAAAATTAATAAAAATATTTATAACAAGGTTCTAGATAACAATAACATGTCATTTGTTGCTACTGCTTATTTGTTAACTAGACCAAATCTAATTTTTTAGTATAACAATACTCCTGTTCATAAAGTGTCAGATTGGATTAAATCAAAAAACATCAAATATATTGACGGATTGTTATGATTCTCTGACCTTAACCCTATAGAAAATATCTAGAGAATCCTAAAAGACAATATTCAGAACTGAGAAAACTTTCTATGAAATAAGGTTGAGCTTAAGGAAGCCTTAAAGTAGGCGTGAGCAAGTTTGGATGTGTCAGATCTTCGGGCAGTTGTAGACTTAATGCCGCAATATTGAGTGTAGATAGTCATGAATGTAAATATTAAATAAATAAATTTTTTTTTGATATATATAGAGTAGAAATTGAATAAATAAAAAATTTATTTCTTATTATAAATTCGGGCGTTACTTTTGTTGGCTACTGTACATGCGGCTAATTGTAGCCTCATTGAAATGCAAAATGTAATACCCTCTATTAGTGGGAGCAGGTCAAAATCCCGACAGATTAGCCTACATTAGGGTTAGAGTTAGAATAGTGTTAGTCAATTTTTGTCGGGAATTTGTTTGTCGGGATTCTGTTTGTCGGGATTTTGACCCAAACCCCTATGTAATATAGGTTGTAAGTTTTAAATGAATAAATGCTGGGATATAAGAGCTCCCTCTAAAAAATTTATGGCGGTAAATTTAGTAATGATAATTATAAGAAATGAATATAAAAAGTTTCTCGAATTGATAACTCAAAAGATTATAAAGAAATAAGTTTAGAAAGTTGATTAAAAAATTTTAAGGGGTTTACGATTTTTTACAGTAAAAGTAATATCTTCAGAAAGAAATTCTTTAGATTTTACGTCTTCGTTAATCAATCGTTGCTTTAAATTAAAATTTAAAGTTCTACCGTCATTAGCGAATGATCTTATACCTTCCGAAAGCTTTTCGGTAGCCATTAAATCTTCATTTAGTGACCATTTAAAGGACATTTCATCGTAGGTAATTTTGGATTCCAAACAATTGTACGCTATAATAAAAATAAATAAATAATCACCAAAATAAAACAACGTTACAATCTATAAATAAATCAATACATACAAGTTTCAGGGCTCAACTTCCTGTTAATCCTTTTATAACTATTTTGTAGTTTATTTAATAGCGCAGTACTGATCGTTAAGAAATCACAGCCGGCTAATTCTTCAATTTCACCGGTGTTTCGAAAACTTGCACCCATTACAATGGTCTTATAACCGAATTTTTTATAATAATTATATATTTTAGTTACTGATATTACACCAGGATCTTCATGGTGTTTATAGGTCTTATTAGTATTTTTCATATACCAATCGAGAATTCTACCAGCATATGGAGAGATTAGAGTTACACCAGCTTCGGCACAAGCAACAGCCTATATATGAAAAAAATATGACGTCATGTTACACGAACGCGCAAAATATTGACTTTGGACAAAGAGATATTTTATTTAAAAAAACAAGTGTTACCTGAGTAAAAGAGAAAAGTAAGGTCATATTACATTGAATGCCTTCCTTCTCAAGTACTTTTGCAGCTTGAATACCTTCCCATGTTGAAGCAATCTTGATCATAACGCGTGACTTGTCAACACCAATTTCTTTATAAAGAGCAATAAGTTGTCTTGCTTTAACAACCGTGGCCTCGGTGTTATATGACAGTTGTGCATCTACTTCAACAGAAATTCTTCCTGGAATAATTTTAAGGATTTCAGCGCCAAAATTTACCAACTATAAATATAATATTTTAAATTTGAATGGATTAATATAAAATTTTTTTTTAACAAGAATAAGAAGTTATATGTGAATTACCAATTTATCAGAAGCTATTTCTGTCATTTTCTCGATAGATCTAACATGTAAATATAACAACTTTTATTGAATTTGTTTATTTGATCGAAATCATTAATAAAGATAAATCTTATAATTACCCTCCTTTACTCTTTGCATATTTGATGGCTGAGTCGATCAAATAATCATAACGAGGATTTTTAGTGGCTTCTAAGACTAAAGAAGGATTCGTAGTTGCATCTTGTGGATCGTATTGCTTAATGGCTATTAAAATATAATTATTTTATTAAATCATGAATTAATTCAATTAATTTAATAATACTCACTCATAAAATCAGCCGAATCAGAAACGATAGTGGTCCATTGTTTTAATTGATCGAGAGCTGAAGCCATTATTTTTTGATTTTTTAATAATTCGAGAAAATCGATAGAGATGAAGGAGGTAAAATTTTGCTTCAATTTATAAAAAATTCAGAATTTATGTAGAGCTAGAAATCGGTTATTCTTACAAATCGTAGTTTTAAAATTAGAATGATAAGTATCGATAGAAATTTTGTACTTGGTTCAGGGCTCAAAAAAAATATGATATGCGAAGATAAAAATACGTTTCTTGTTTTATTTTAAACAACAATAAATTTGGTGTTTTGGCTTAAGATCAAAACATACGATTTCAAAAAAAAAAAAAAAAAAAAAAAAAAAACGTACGATTTTTTCAATAAGCTAATTTTGAGATTATTATCGTTATAATTTTGTATAACATAAATAATTAAATAATACGTATTTTTCTTTGACTATAGGATTAAGGCCAGAGCTCGTATTGAGGTTAAGGGTTAGCAAGGTCTATAGTAAAATTTCATAAGGAATTTTTTTTTTTACTTAGAGCCTCAAAAGTAGTTTCATAAGAATAATTTTGAAATACAATAATATACCTCTATAATCACATGATAAAAATATTGAAAAAGTCTTTATGTAGTCAACTGTGCGATTATAGAGGAGATTAACAAACTCCTTTTAAAAAATCATTAATTTGTTTTTTTTTTATTAACATGTAGTCACAATAAGTGAAATAAAAAATTTGATTTATTTTGTGAAAAATGCCAATAAAAATAACAACATAAAACACAATAGTATTTGTTTGTTTTTATTAATTATTGATGCTGTTACTTATTTTTCCCGTTTATTAAACATTTCAAATATCTAATTCAGAAAGGAGTTACCAATATCTATATATGGCACAGTGTGTAAAAAATACAAAAAAAAAGCAATTCGCCAATATCTCAAAATTTTGCATAGGAAATAGCTTTTTGTGTTCTAACAAAAAAAAATTCCTTGCAAAATTTTGATATAAACTATGCCCCGTTCTAACCCTAAACCGAACCTGCCCTAACCCTAATTAAACGAAGTAAACTGTTTATTTTTTTTATTGTTTGTTTTCACATTACACCTGTTCTTTGGAAAATACACTGTAACCAATAAATTGGATTGAATAATTTTTTATATTGTTTTGTATTTATTTAGCTATCGTTATCTATCGCATCAATTAACATTTTTAGTCTAATTAGCTTTGTATCACTGACAGTTCGTAAGCATGACATGATTATCCTTATAATAGAAATTTATATACGTATGCAAATTGCACTTAAAGGGTAGGTATGCTCAATTTACTTCTAAAGTAAACCATTAAATTTAGAAACTACGTATGAATTTTTAGGTTTTACAAAATCAACCTGCGGGATAACCAAATTTGGTTGCGTATTGTTACTATCGCTATTGTAAATTGGGTAGTGTAGGAGGGAAAATCGGTCAACACTAACCAACCAAAAACACAGCGACAACGATACCCGAAACGATTATAGAGGCGGATTCGATTTGGCAAGGTAAGGCTTGTTTCAGGTACGTTGCACGGGACAGCACTGGACTCCGGTTTATTAAACTTAGGGTAACGATGATCCTTTTCTTTTATTAATTCGACCACTACTTTTATTCAAAGCGAACGACAGGACTTTTTATACAAGAGAATATACATTTGGGTTTTTACTCAATATTACTAAATTGAGGGGGAATCTGCAAGTTACAATGACCAAACTTCCACCATTTGAATCCCAGAGGCATCATGCGATTTTCAACAGAGCTTCGCCTTGAGCCAAACCCAAGATAGCATTTGATTAATGCTTATATGCCGATTGGAGGTCTTGGGCTTGAGGCTTAGCTTGGTCTGGGTCATGGCTTGTCACATTTCTCAGGTGCCTTCGCTAGGTCACGTTTTGCCTCTAACAGTAGGGATGTTAATCGAACATTTGGGATCGAGTCCTGACCGATCCTTTAAGGATCGGTAAGGACTTGATCCCTGAATTACGTGATAGTTATATAGGACTTAGATCCTGATTCGATTTTTGGATCCAGTCCCTTTTTGTTAAACGTTAGATTGAGTCTCTTGCCAGGCGAAACGAAGGCTTGCTGTCAAGGTATTTGCCTAGCATTGTATTTTTGGGCAATATGCTTTTAACGTTTATTTGAGAGGTACGTTTACAAAGGTTAAAATTTTAACAACGAAAAGGGTATAACTTACACTTTTAAACCAACACTTTAGTAGGAAAGCAGCATGTAAAGAAGTACCAATCTCCAGCTTTAAATAATAATTAAAGATGTAATAAACTTTTTGTAGAATTAATTTATTAATATATTTAATGACAAAGGAATTAAAATTTACTAATTAAATTTTTAGTCACAAAGATATATTACCTAGTAAACTTAATATTTTTTAATTTAATTTATAACAAAAGTAATGTATTTTTTTTTTTTACTAATTTTTAGTTACAAAGACACATATCTTAAAAAAGCTAATTATTCCTAATTCAATTTTAAATAGCAAAAATAATGTATTTTTTTTTTAGTTATAAAAAAATATATTAATTTAATCTTATTAACAAAAATAGTAAGAATTTTTATTTTTTAACAATAATAGTAAGAAATTTAAAAATAGTTTAAAAACACAAGCAAATTAAGAAAAAAAATAGAAGCTAATAAATTTGAATTTATAAAAAAGAAAATATAAACTGATGAATTTGAATTTATAAATAAGGAAATAGAAATTGCTGAATTTGAACTTATAAATAAAAAGATCTTAAGTAAAAAGATATTAGTTATTGAAGAAATATATTATTGTCTTTAGATCAAAAAATAGATTACAAAAATATAACAACTAAGTATCTATTAGAAACTATCTTGAAAAAACAATTTCTAATAGAAGTAAAAAATATAAACTCTATAACTAAATGTTTAGAAATTTAATTATAAATATAAATATAATTAAAGATTAATATTTAGAAAATAACAAATGATTAAATAGCTTTGTAATTATTTTTAGTTATAATAAAAGTTTTTAGTATAAAATTTTAAATATTCTTATTAATTATTCTAAAAATTAATATTAAAGTAAATTATTAAGCTTATATTGAGATCAATATTATAAATTAATTATTATTATAAATTAATTAATATTTTTTTTTTTTTTTAGATGATCTTGTTCTTCATTTATTATGAGAAAACATAAAAAATGTTACAGCAAAAATAAATTAAATAAAACTAGCTATACAACTGCTCTCTTGACTTAAATCCAGACTCACTCAGCTACTTAAAGTATCTAGATATGATTTGCTGTAATAAAAATTTTCCTCCCAAAAGAGTAGAATATCTAAACAGAGTCTTACTCTAAAGATCTACAGAAAGCTGCTATATGCTCAATTAATTAATATTATAAATTAATCAATATTATAAATTAATCAATATTATAAAATAATTATAAGTTAAAACTTTAGTATTTTTATTATAACTAAGTTTATTAGAAAAAAATTAGTTTTTAGTTATTTCAAAAACTTTACTAAAAAAGATATAGTATATAAATTAATTTTTTTCTATCTTATTAGAAATAGTACTTATCTTTTTATTTTTTTTTAATTTTTTTTTATTTTTCAACAAGCTGTCTACAGATTTTTATTAAGTATTATTTTCAAGTTATATTTGTTAGTGAAAATATAATTGGCTATATGTACATCTTTAGTTGTTGTCTATTTATAGGTTCTGCTATATAGATTACCTACTAATTGCTATACCTAGTATCTGCCTGTAGATACTCTATTTAAACCCTCTAGTATCACTGTAAAACTCTATATTTAAACTAATATTTATATCTATACTAATCTTGTACTACTTCATTTTAAGGATCACTCAGACCAACTTATGACTCAAATTGTCTTTATTAGAGTAAGCTCTATCACAAGATACCTAATGCATCCTATTCTAGTAAGGCTTGCAGATAACCCTAACTATACTGTACTGTATTTTAATTAAGCTAGCATATACCTTTATTAGTATTTGTATAAACTCAATTCTTTTTATAGCTTTCTACTAGATTGGTCTAGTTCTTTTAAATGTTTTACAAGATAGATTCTCTCAAATTTAGTTAGCTGCTAAGCCAAATTGATGTTGCTATTCATATAATGTTATATCATACTTGACTTTTCTGTTATACTATGAACTTACTCGTATTTACTCAGTCTATATTCTTCATCTCTAGACTTTCTCTGGATCAAAGAAATAGTACTTATAATCTATTAAAAATAGTATTTTTGCTTATTTAAATTCTAACTAATAAAATTATATTTTAGATTTATTAAGTAATAAGTTTTTTTTAATATAATAAAAGAATTTAGTTAATTAGCTAAAATATTTTTACTAATTTTTTTTTTTAACTTAGGCGATCTTGCCCTTCATTTATTAAGAGAAAGCATATATAATGCTATTACAGTAAAATAA